CCAACAAGACAATGACCCCAAACACACCAGTAAACGTGCAACATCTTGGTTCCAGACCAACAAGATTGACGTTCTGGAGTCGCCAGCCCAATCCCCGGATCTTAATCCAATAGAAAACTTGTGGGGTGACATCAAAAATGTAGTTTCTGAGGCAAAACCAAGAAATAGAGAAGAACTCTGGAATGTAGTCCAAATCATCCTGGGCTGGAATACCTATTCACGGGTGCCAGAAGTTGGTTGACTCCATGCAACACAGATGTACAGCAGTTCTCAGAAACAGTGCTTATACAACTAAATATTGATTCAAAGGAAAGCAAAATCTTCAAAAATTTTTCAGTTTATATAGTGAATGTTTGAGTTTGTAAAGAAAAATACAAACACTGCTATTTTTTTGAACAGTCTAATATTCGCTTTCCTTCATTTTTTTTTTTAGAGGAACAACACAAATTTGATATTTTTCTTCATGTTTTGATTTGTAATAGAATGTGTAGTGTTCCCAATGCATTTGTGTGTATGGAAATAAAAGCTATTAGAAGGATTTTGAAATTTATTTTTCAACACACTGCTATTATTTTGAACACAACTGTACGTTGGATCGGACTGCTATAACTTCACATTAGAATTTTTGAGGATTGATATTTGTTTTTAAGGTTTATATTTCACATATGAGGAGATAGCGCATCACAATTTTTGTCTAACTAACGTAGAATATATCAAAGAGAGACATTGGGAGAAGAATAAACTCTATGTAGGAAATTGAGTTGAATCCATCTATCCCTAGCTGAGATTATAAGGAGGATGTATTGCTGAATACCCTCTTCCCAGTCCCCATCTGTCAGGTTGGGCAAATCATGGTGCTAAACGTAAAGACGAGTGACCTTAGAAATATCCGCTTGAGCCAAGCAGAGATAAATAGAGGAGTGGCTTGTCCAACTGATCCGTCATCAATACATTTTCAACCGCATGGGGAGGCCAAAACCAACGAAAAGGTAGACTGGGACTGGGCAGCATGTCTAAGTTGGAGATACCTAAAGAACATATAACTGGATAATGCAAACCAGGCCTTAAGACTATCAAAAGTCAACAACTGACCACGAAAGATTATATCTCTCACCGTTTTGATACCACGTTGAGCCCAGAGCCTGGGTCAGGTATTGTCAGGAAATGGGGCAGTCGGGGATTTCCCCAAAGTGGCGTGTATGGTGACACCCCTCGAATGCCACCAGGGACTCTGCCTGTCTCCACACTAGCAGAGTAGTTTGCATGGGTTTAGTTATATTGGGGGTTGGAGCGTGGTCCACGGAACACTAGATTACTCAGTTCTGCATAAGACCCTAGCAAGACTGCCACCAAGTCCACCTCTGGGTTGCCTTTCATCTGGACAAACCACCAACGGACAGTGACCAGAACCACAGCCCAATAGTATGTTTGGAAACATGGGAGGGCCAAGCCCCCCAATGTGAGGGGCTGTTGTAGAGTGCTCTTAGCTACCCTAGGGGTGGCACCCACCCAAATAAAGGAGGTAAGAACTTGGTCTAGCTTCTGAAAAAAGGATTTCCTGTATAGGTACTGGTGTGTGGCGAAACACATACAAAAACCTAGGAAAGAAGGCCATCTTTATGAGATTGATTTGACCTGCAGGAGTAAGAGGCAGGGACCTCCATGCAGTGCATCTCTGAGTCAGCTGGGACATCACAGGTTGCAAGTTTAAAAGGTAGATAGGCAAAAAGCTCCTTCTGGATGTTAATCCCTAAATACTTAAACTTAGTAACCCATTGGATGGGGTAGAGGGGGGGCAAGGGGATCCAAGCCAGACCCAAGGAAAACAGAACTGATTTATCCCAGTTCATTCTAATGCCAGAGAAGCACCCAAACAGGTCTATCAATTCCAGGGCTGCAGTCAAGGACTGGGAGGCATCTCCAAGATATAGCAAAGTGTAATCTGCATAAAGTGAGACTTTTTCCTCCAAGGGGCCAACAGCTATCTCTTAACCCTCTCAGAGGAACGCAACAAAATAGCTAGGTGTTCTCGTGCCAATACGAATAAACCCAGGGATAATAGGCAGCCTTGCCTGGTACCTCTGTGAAAACTAAATTCTAGAGACAATTGTTTCCCGGTTCGTACACGAGCTTTAGGGTCAGCATAAAGAATTTGTAACCAAGAGAGAAACCGGGGGCCAAACCCAAAACATTGGAAGACCTCCCACAGATAGGGTCATTCCATGGAATCAAAGGCTTTCTCTGCATCTAATGAGGCAATCACTACTGTAGGGCAGGTGGAGGCAGAGGAAGCTATCACAGTAAACAACCTGTGGAGGTTTATATCTGTACCCTAGCCTGGCATGAACCCTGATTGACTTCCATGAATTAAGGACAGAATAATGCTATTAAGTCGAGTGGCCAACAGTTTCATCAATATTTCGGCGCCAACATTCAAAAGCGAAATAGGGCAATATGAAGAGCATAGTGCCGGATCCCTCCCCGGTTTAGGACGTACGATACTCGTAACTTGAGACATAGAGCTGGGAGACACCCACTTTTAGTGATTTTTAAACGAAGCAACACAGGTGCATGATCTGATATACCCCTTGGTAGTAGATACCTCCCTTATCTTGCTCAACAGATCAGCAGAGACAAATATCAAGTCAATACAAGACATAGAATTATAAATAGAAGAAAATCAAGTAAACATTTGCCAGATGGGTGTTTCCATCTCCAGGCATCCTAAAATCCAAACAAAGTTGCCCATTTGGATAGAGTACTATCGTTAGAAGTGTCAGGGTTTAGTTTGTCCACACTCAGGCAAGGTGACATATTGAAATCACCTGCCACCACTAGCCTAGCCATAGGGAAGGCCACGAGTAGTGGAACTAATTTGTGGAAGTGGGAAGGATGTACTGGGGGGGGAAATATACACCCAAGATTAGTATATCTTAATCTCAATATTTGCATGTAAGACAATGTAGTTGACTTCCAGGTCTGATTTAACCACTTGCCCTCCAGAGAATTTACCCCCCTTCCTGACCAGGCCATTTTTTGCATTACGGTGATGCGTTACTTTAACTGACAACTTGCGCGGTCATGCAACACTGCACGCAAATTAAATTTACTTCATTTTTTCCCCCACGAATAGAGCTTTCTTTCGGTGGTATACGATCGCCTGTGCGGTTTTTATTTTTTGCGCTATAAAAAAAAAGACCAACAATTTTGAGAAAAAAAACAATATTTTTCACTTTTTGCTATTAAAACGTCCAGTAAAACCATTTTAAAAAATCAAAATTTCATCATAAATTTAGGCCAAAATGTATTCTGCTACATGTCTTTGTTATAGCGTTTACAAATGGCGGTATATATACTGAGATTTTTATTCATTTTTTTTTTTTTTTTTTTACTAGTAATGGCGATGATCAGCGACTTATAGCGGGACTGTGGCGGGCATTGGGGGGAACTGACTTAGTGTCACTGACATCCCCAATGACATCAATACAGTGATCAGTACTAATAAAAAGCATTGACACTGTACTAATGGCACTGAGCAGAAGTGTGGGACTGTGTGCTGTTTTACTGTGAGCTGTGTCTGTGCTTTCAACTGTGCATATCAGAGCCATGCAAAGCAGTGTGCTTACAGCCATGCAGAGCGGTGTGCAGGAGCTGACGGGAGAGAACTGTACTGTTTGCATACAGTTATCTCCCTCCATCTGTAATGCTCCGCGATCACTGGGTGCTGGTGAGTAATAACCGTCCGGTACCCAGTGATTAACAGCCGAGGCCGCAAATAGCTGCGTGGGTAGGGAGCGTGTGCGGCTTGCGCGTATATACAAGTGATTTTGCGCACCCCTGCAGCAGTATATCTGCTATAGGGCGGTGGGTATGGGGTTAAGATCGAGCAAAAAACAGCACAGGGACTTGTGGACCAATATACTGACCCCCCCTAACAGAGGAGGAATATGTGGCATGGTAGTAATGACCTACCCATGGTTTATTTTAAGCAAATGACCTTAGTACTCATCAAATGGGTTTCTTGTAGGATACAGATATGAGGATTGCACTTCTTAAGATAAGTAAAAATCAGGGAGTGTTTGAGTTTGTCATTAAGTCCTTGGACATTCCAAGAAACTATAGTAAGCGAAGCCATAGTAACCTTAGGATGAAATATTGCCATAGCCAATCTGCTAAAGAAGCCATTAGACCAGCGGTTCTCAACCTGGGGGTCGCGACCCCTTTGGGGGTCGAACGACCATTTCCCAGGGGTCGCCTAAGACCATCGGAAAACACATATTTCCGATGGTCTTAGGAACCGAGACACCGCTCCTCTCTCCGGCGATGTGTGGGCGGGATGATACGCTGCTCCTGTCACCTGGCCACACCTCCGGGATCGCTCAGCAGCTCCGCCTCCTCGCCGCTGATTGGCCACCGGAACTGTAGCTCAGGAGAGGCACACAGGCGGCCAATCACCGGCGAGGAGGTGGAACTTGGAGAGGAGGAGCCGAGCGGCAGCGCGCGTACATCAAAGAAGATCGAGGGAGCTGCCGGAGCGAGTGAAGAGTAGAGCGGCCAGAGAAGGAAGACAGCTGACAGGTAAGTGAGAGAGCGAGCCCAGGCTGTCACTAATACCAACGATGGGGCACTATTCCTCCCCCCACTGACACCAACGATGGGGCACTATTCCTCCCCCCACTGACACCAACGATGGGGCACTATTCCTCCCCCCACTGACACCAACGATGGGACACTATTCCTCCCCCCACTGACACCAACGATGGGACACTATTTTCCCCCCCACTGACACCAACGATGGGACACTATTTCCCCCCCCTGACCCCAACGATGGGGCACTATTCCCCCCACCACACTGACATCAATGATGGGGCACTATTCCCCCCCACTGACACCAATGATGGGGCACTATTCCCCTCCCCCACTGACATCAACGATGGGACACTATTCCTCCCACTGACACCAACGATGGGGCACTATTCCTCCCCCCACTGACACCAACGATGGGGCACTATTCCTCCCACTGACACCAACGATGGGGCACTATTCCTCCCACTGACACCAGTGATGTGGCACTATTCCTCCCACTGACACCAGTGATGGGGCACTACTCCCACTGACACCAGTGATGGGGCACTACTCCCACTGACACCAGTGATGGGGCACTACTCCCCCCACTGACACCAGTGATGGGGCACTACTCCCCCCACTGACACCAGTGACGGGGCACTATTCCCCCCACTGACACCAGTGATGGGGCACTACTCCCCCCACTGACACCAATGATGGGGCACTACTCCCCCCACTGACACCAGTGATGGGGCACTACTCCCCCCACCGACACCAGTGATGGGGCACTACTCCCCCCACCGACACCAGTGATGGGGCACTACTCCCCCCACCGACACCAGTGATGGGGCACTACTCCCCCCCACCGACACCAGTGATGGGGCACTACTCCCCCCACCGACACCAGTGTGATGGGGCACTACTCCCCCCACCGACACCAACGACGGGGCACTACTCCCCCCACCGACACCAACGATGGGGCACTACTCCCCACCGACACCAACGATGGGGCACTACTCCCCACCGACACCAACGATGGGGCACTACTCCTCCCCACCGACACCAGTGATGGGGCACTACTCCTCCCACCGACATCAACAATGGGGCACTATTCATCCACTGACAACATCAGTGATGGGGCACTACTCCTCCACTGACACCACTCCTCCCATTGCAAAATTACAGTTATGAAGTAGCAACGAAAATAATTTTATGGTTGGGGGTCACCACAACATGAGGAACTGTATTAAGGGGTCGCGGCATTAGAAAGGTTGAGAACCACTGCATTAGACCCAGAAGGGCAAGCAACCGCTCCTCGCCTACTCATAGCTGTAATATTGAAATACATTTGCCATATAATGCCATCAAAACAAACATGAACAAAAAAAGGAAACTTATTACCAACTATCCCCGCTCACCCCCCCCCCCCCCCCCCCCGGGAGTGCTTGAATCCCCAAACACAAACAGGTAGAACACCCATGAAGGTCGTGATAAGTAGTGCAACCAGACAGTCAGGCAGTAAGCCAAATAAGAGTGCAAGTTATAAAACGTAAAGGCAGCATGTGCATAAAAAATGGGATCACTTATCTCTCAGATCTTTGGCTCTGAGGGCACAAACTTAGATGCATAACTGCAGAAGAGAAAATGAGAGAAGAGTCACTGCCCCTCCCTACCAAAAAATAAGTCACAGTAGTGTAATCATAAACAGAAACATTTTTAGAGTGCAATGGTCTTACATAGAGAAATTACAAAGTAGTCGTCCCTGAGTAGACCATAGTAGAATTAGAATACAGCATAGTGTTTCAAATTTCCCAGGGAGAAACCATTCAGGAACTAGCCTTCAAGGGTCATGAGGGTGGTGTATATCTAAAGGTCCATAGGTAAGCGAACGGGCTTGAGGCAGTGTTTCTATCCATGTAGAGACCTCCTCCGGATCAGTAAATAATTTAACAGTCTCACCATCCTGGATCTGAAGCCTAGCTGAAAAGAGCCAGGGCTTGACAAATTTGCTTTGAATCTAGGAGCCAGCTAAAAAAGTTAAGAGCAAGGTAGGGGGCGGCGTCGCAGGATGAAGGGAGCAGCAGGACAGGAGGGGGGCAGCAGGATATGAGGAAGGCAATGTCACAGGAGGGGGGCAGCAGGACAGAAAGAAGGCAGTGGTACGGGGGGGGGGGGCAGCATCACAGGAGGGAGGCAGCAAGATTGATTGGGGCAAGTGGGACAGGAGGGGGGCAGTGGGACTGAAGGGAGAATTGTCATGTGAGAGGGTACAGGTGGGGGGCAGCGTCACAGGAGGGGGGGGGGTAGCACCGGGATAGGTGGGGGCAGCGTCACAAGAGGGGAGCAGTGGGGCAGGTGGGAATCGGTGTCACAGGAAGGGGCATCGGGATAGGTGGGGGACAGTGTCACAGGAGGAGGCAGTGAGACTAGTGGGGGGCAGTGGGACAGATGGGGGGGTAGCATCACAGGAGAGGGACAGGTGGAGAACAGCATCACAGGAGGGGAGCAGCGAGATAGGTTGGGGGCAGTGGGACAAGTGGGGTGCAGTGGAACAGGTGGGGAGTAGCAGGAGAGATGGTGTGCAGCAAGACAGGTGGGAAGTAGCAGGGCAGGTGGGGTGCAGCGAGACAGGTGGGGGGCAGCATCACCAGAGGGGGCAGTGGGACAGCTCTCATCTGTCCAGCAGTGGCTCCTCCAGATGTCTGCCTGGTTGTTGTGGTCGGTTGGGGGGGGGTCGGCGCTGAACTTGGTGACCCTGGTGACTCCAGTCCTCTGGTAGGGAGCACTGCCGCAGTTAAAGGTGGTATTGATGCGCTCTGTGGTGGGGATGGGGCGGTTGGTGCGAGAGGCTGCATACTCCACTGCATGGGGTGGGCCTGCGGAGTTCTCCATGGGGCTGGCTTTCATGGAGCTGTGAAGCTCTGTGTGCTGTTTGGACTCTGTGCATGGGGAGGGATGGGGGGGAGACTCTAGGGGTCCCAGAATGCTGGGTTCCACTCTGTGGGGTGAGGTGCCAGCTCAGAATGGGGGACAACAGAGCAGTGTGGGCTAACGGGGGCCCGTGTGCCAGGACGTGGTTTCTGGTCACCTGGGAATTGTCGAGTCCTGGAAAGAGCATAGCATACTTTAGTCCTCGAGGACGTAGTTGCTGCTTAACATGGCTGAATGACCAACAGCCGCTGAGTTTCCAAAGAGTAATCTGAAATCATCAAGCGGGTGTTTTCATAATTAAAGAATTCCAGTTTCCGGACCTCTCTCAGTACCAAATCCCAGTCCCGGAAATTCAAGAGATGATAAAGTGTGTGTGGGGAAACCACTAGGTCCTTTGGTAGCAGGTATGCGATGGGCCCTTTCCACTGCAAAATAGGCCAAGAAACGGGCCTGTGGCAGAAGGGAGTGGAGTAGTTGCTCAGTAAAACCCGCAGCATCCTGGCCCTCAGCATTTTTAAGCAAGCCCACAATCCGAAGATTGTTTCATCTGTTATGATTATTGACTTCAGTCTCCAGGGACTTAACTCGTACCTGTAAAATGCAGATGTCTCCAGAGTGTTCTCTGTGAACGTCCTCCAACTCACCGATGCAGGTGGTCCATTTTGGCCGTGAGAGTGGTCTGACGTGTTATTGGCTTGCATGAGGGCCGTGTTTTGCTGGTCCAGAGCATCCAGATCATTTGGCTTCGTCTGCGACACCATATTGGATCTTCCACATGTCATCGGCCCAGGCATGGGTTTGTTCACAATGGGGAGCGTAGGACGCTTGCGCCCGGCAGATAGCTTGTCCCTACCCAGTGTCCACGAGTAAAAGAGGTCGGTAATCCCTGTACAAATACGGATAGTAAGGCACATGCCATGGATCTCCCTTTTAATTGTCTGCTCCAGTCGCCATCTTGGATACGTTACACACCCCCCAACCCCCCCCCCCCCCCAAAGCCAGCCAGCTAGCTTGCTTATTTGTCAGTATGTGTGGTGTGGTGTGGTGTAGTGTAGTCATTAATGGTTCCACAGCGATGCAGAATTGATAATGCCCAACACCCGGGACATGCAGTTCCAGGCTCTGGGAAGGTAGTTTGTTTTTTTTTTTTTTACATTTAGTCTTGCTGCAGGCCAGCCGCAGGATTTACGTGTCAGGAAGAAGCATTCAGGTGTCTACACTGCCACCCAAATGCTTCCACACACCCCAGTAAAGTTGCACGCCCTCCCTTATGTATCCCGCTCTCCTCCCCATCTTGTTCCCAACCCTGAAGCAACATGTATGTAGGTGTGCTGAGAATTTCCCGGGTCGTCCAGGCCGGACAAGAATCACACTGCATTTCATTACATTCAGTGGAGAACAGAGGAGACATGCAGGTTCTTTTAACTCTGGATGACTCATTAAAGAGAACCTGTCACCAAAAAAATTCATTGTATAGGGGACTTTTTGTCCCCTTTTATGAATTAAATTTTTTTTTTATTTGTACAAGCACATAAAATTCCCCCCCGCCCAAAAAAAATTTTTTGGGAGTACCCCCACATATATGCACATACAAACGCAAACACACGCGTCAGGGTGCCTATGCATAAAAACATTGATTGCGATACACGTTACTTTATTGCCAAAAGTATTGGGACACTCCTCCAAATTATTGAATTCAGGTGTTCCAATCACCTCCATGGCCACGGGTGTATAAAATCAAGCATCTAGGCATGCAGACTGCTTCTACAAACATTTGTGAAAGAATGGGTCACTTGCAGGAGTTCAGCAAATTCAAGTGTGGTACCGTTATAGGTTGCCACTTGTGCAATAAGTCCATTCATTACATTTCTTTGCTACTAAATATTTCACAGTCAACTGTTAGTGGTATTATAACAACGTAGAAGCAACTGGGAACAACATCAACTCAGCCACGAAGTAGTAAGCCACGTAAAATGACAGAGCGGGGTCAGTGCATGCTGAAGCGCACAGTGCGCAGAAGTTGCCAACTGTCTGCAGATTCAATAGGGTCAAAGAACAATGGAGAACCACCTGCGCTACCCTGAATACACTATTATTCTAGGAATGGGTTGCCGTCGACACCTGGCTATACACCTGGATAGAATGGGATCAAAAATTATAAAAAAATTGGTGCTGCGCTCCCACACTTATATAAATAATTCCTAGATTGTAAGCTCCAAGGAGCAGGGCCCTCCTATTCCTCTTGTATTGAACTGTATTGTTGCTGTATTGTCTCCCGTTATATTGTAAAGCACTCAGCAAACTGTTGGCGCTATATAAATCCTGTATAATAATAATAATAATTAAATCAAAAATTAGGTTTCAATTACACTCCTAGTGAAACCTCCTGTGTGTAATTATCCCAAACTCAATTTTTCATATTATTATACAATCTTATGCAGTCATGTTTGATAAACCGTATGAAATAAAATAAAAATGTGCAAAACACAATACATAAACCCACTTGTGTCCCTAAACAGGGTGAAATCACAAACATGTATTAAACCGCACATGATAAAACACTTGGTATAAATAAATGCAGTGGAAATAGACTGACAAATGGCACTATTGTGCCTATAAAACAAACAATAGGACAGTCAGGATAAATGGACCCTGACAATCTACAAGGACTATAACAAATGCTTCAACATAAATGTGCGACCAGCACTCAACATGTGCCCAGATGTACCAAAGTATAAATTGCCGTGCTCTTGTCCCTAAACTTGGGACCATACTGCTATATAAATAGCAGGAAGAAAGAAAAAACCAAAAACAATTAAATAAAATATTGCGCGAATCCACAATTGAAAATCCAGTGACACTGTCATAAATTTAAGTTATGTGTTTATCATAAAGTCCACAAAAACACGTGCCACCAATTATTAATAAACAAACAAATCGTCCATGTGTGTAATCTTCAATATGGAAACCTCCAGCGATCAATATAAATGTGGCTGGTGAACAAAAAGTGTAATCCTTCACCAGTAAGATTGCCACCTCACCTTCATGAACCGACCACACAGGGTCAAACCGCTTTTTTGCTATTAAGCACAGCCAACCACTCAATCCTCCACGTCAGATTCGGTATCACAAACTGGTGGTATCCCCCTTCAGAACTTACAGGTATCACCTCTCCTGATATCTGGATGGTTTTCATATGATCGATTTGTACCTCAGCTTCCTCATT